TAAAAAAAGTTTTCTTTTAAACTTTGTTGTCGCCGTGTGTATCAGAAACACATCTTGTTTCTTTGGCAATATTACTCAATAGTCAATTACTCAATTACTCAATCTAATCAGTTTTACTGAATAAATATTGCTTAAATCAAATCACAAGAATATCAGCAGTTTCGTTTAAAGTCATCATTTCGTCAGTTCTTTGGTAAATATAATAATCTTATGAGCTAGTACAATTCATCATGAAGTCAAATACTGTTTAACATTTTTCATACTAATTGTTAGTCCATTATTAATTCATTGAATTGACGACGGATTTTCCAGTTATTTACCCATTATGATAAGGAGCACACGGCGGGTGAGTCCGGTCGGCAGGGGATGCTCAATCCTCCATGGCACCTGATCCCACCTCTGATAATTTGGAGGTCCGTGTTTGCTCTGCTTATATTTTGTATTGTTTTATTAATACAGTTTGTTATCTCATATCCTTCTTTTATTCGATCAGAATGTTGGAAAAAAGTCACGTGGTTAGCAATGTCACACCTTTGGAATGTACTTAGGCCATAGCTTCAGATCCAGAGGTTTGTTTTGAAATCGATTATAACTCGAATTAATTAACTACCTCATATAAACGAAGTTTATTAAATCAAATAATGCGAGGAATACAGAACATCATGTTATTTTGTCTCTTTATGGCCTTTTTAACGCATTCAGCACGCTGAAGCGTACCCATATATAGATGACAAAGACGTGGTATTTTCTTAATAACTCTACGTACCGGTAAGGTGCAATTCTCCCGTACGTTTCAATTCTGATGCATTGTTTTTTACATTTCATTACACGCAGAGGAAGTAAAGTTTCTTTTAGTACAGAGATTCTCCTGAATAGATGAATAGTTAAAGTTTTAGTCTTTCTTTTAACATTAACGACAATGAGAAATGTTAACATTTCTACATGTACCTAGCTGCGACGATACGTAAGGTGACGGAAAGTGCATATTATCCTTAATCACAAAGTGTACACATACATGTTATTCTCCGCCCAGATCGATAGATCGGCGGCGCACATAGTTTTTGTTCTGTCTGTCTTTTTTGTCTGTGAACTTTAAACTTCTCAATAACCTATGAACCATCTATAGGGACTAGAGACTTCAAATTTAATATGAATTCTTTAATATTGAAGCTTTTTCAACCGACGGAAATGTCAAATATCATATGACCTTGAATATTACCTAAAAACAGCATTTTAAAATTCGCCATAACTTTTGAACCATCAGAGATAACACAGGGACTTCAAATTTTCCATGTAAATATCATCAGTTAATTTTTTTTCATTTCACACCAAATTCAATAACTTTTTGATATTTACTATGACGTATACATGTAAGCTAAAAAAAGTTTTCTTTTAAACTTTGTTGTCGCCGTGTGTATCAGAAACACATCTTGTTTCTTTGGCAATATTACTCAATAGACGACAATAAATGCGGAGACGAATGTACCTTTCGTAAGATACCATGATATGAAGTTGTCTTAATTAATTCAGCAAAATACATTTAATATCTTAACAAAGGATATCAAACAAGTCATCTAAAATACGTATCAATTAGAAGTTATATTAGAGTGTCCCACATTTCGGCATGTACACCACTATATACAGTAAAACTCGACTATAACAAAGGATCAGGGACCTGTAATATAACTTCGCTCTATCCATAAATCGATATATCCGTGTAAAGAATTTATGACATTTATATAGCAGTGGATCCAAGATGACTTCGCTACATCCGTGAATTCGCAATATCCTTGTTCGTACTAAACGAGTTTCACTGTAGATAATTGTGACACGATAGCGGTGTTTTTCTTTGAAGTTTACTGTTCTGTATTAGCAATAGCTGTGGTGGGCGGAGCTACTTTCCGTTCGGTATTAGCCCTGTATATAGTATTGTATTTACTAACTATTCTGCATCTGAAATACAGCACGGTCTAAAAATAAATATGATTCAATTTACCAAAAGCACTTATAAATAATAAATGCTGATGTTTTCCTATCATAAATTTTGAAGAAATACTCGGTATTTTCCCGAGAATGTGAAATGTCAAAATTTTTCATTCACTTCTTAAAAACTTATTCCATACAGAATCTACACTTAATTTCGATTCAAAGTAAAAGAAAAATTCGCAATAACGGGAAACATCTTCTGTATGCAATTTCGCTCCAACAGAAACGTAAAAAAGCGCAATAACTGAAAACATCCACCCCCTCGTACAAAATCATTCAAGTCCATTTTTTCCGCGTTTTTATTTTCTAAGTCCTTTTCGCTGACGACAGCCACACGTCTTTCACTTCGTTTTTAATGTTGCAATTCAATTTGAAAATAAACATCAATGACATTAAAGTCCATCGAAGAATTTTTCTGTAAATACTGCTTTTGTTAATCTAATTTAACCGGGATTTTAAGACCCCTGAAATAAATTATGATAATCTCCATCTACAATAGATCACAACAATGATGGTTAAATCCCCCACTTTATCCATTTAGACTGACTATCACTCGATCATGTCTACCTCGTTAAATTTTCAATACTAATCTGACCGAATTTGATCTTTTCCGTGGAAATATATATACTGCGGATGCGTACTCTCTCTCGGGACCTCATCTACAGAACTCAAGTTTGGATGCTGCAAAGTTATAAAGTGGTCGGAGCTTTTTTTGATTGATCGTGTCACAAAACATTTAGAAAACTCGACAGGTTTTGTATCGAAGATACAAATTTGGGGGTGGAGACTCTTCATGCGCACTCGTCTCCACCCCCAAATTTGTATATACGATACAGAACCTGTCTTGTTCTCTAGATAAAACTTATAATTTGTCGTAATTTCCATCTGATACCTCAAAATTGTATGATTTACATTGTGACCTCTAAGTAGAGGTCTCTGATGGTTGACTCTAAGTTCCTGAAAGTCTCTACAGCCCAATTACTTAGTATATCGGATCTAGTCCGAAAATACAATTGTATTTTCTATTGCCAGATTAAATTTAAAAAAAATGATTTAAAAATGAAGGCTTATTTCCGACATGCAGAGCTCTGATCCTTATATTATTTGAAACGAGACTTCGGCATTCCCCTTTCTTTTGCTTTTTTTTATTATTTAAAAATTACTATCGATTTAGCATGAACATCGGTGAAGGGACAAAATTTGTAGAAATGCTCATTTGGTGCATCAAAATTAATACCTGATATAATTTACATTATGAACCTTGGTCCGAGGTCTCTGCTAGTGGACTGTTAGTCTTAAAGGGGATGTATAGTCTGAAGGTAATTAAATTCAAACTAGCTAATATAATACGGAAACATGTTTGAATGCTTTGGTAAAATCTAGATGTTCATTTCAAAATGAAGGCTTATTTCCTATATGCATAGCTCTGGTTCTTCGATGTATATTTGGGCTCAGACTTTGGACCCTCTTTCACCTCTTTTTTTTTTTTTACCCCTAGTGTACCCTTGGGTATCATTATCTGAGTCATTAATCACCAGCTCTACCTTTAAGCTCCAACATATGTTTCAGAATTTATGTTTCAGTGACTCTTAAGAAGGTTTTTGAATAATACATTTTGCTATAGAATTTGAGTTCATTATTTGATTGCAGTCTGACCCAACCCTCTGGGGACATGATTTTAATAGTTGTGTAATCGAAACTACCTCAGAAAAAATCACCCAAAAATCAATTTATTTGGAACGATTAATCTTGACATGATTTTACTTATATATTTCAATGTGAAATTTTGCTTTTCTATTTATGTCCCTCCCTTTCCCAAGGGACATATTTATAAAACAATAACAGGTTTAACTTCCTCAGTAAGATTCTACAGAAGTTTCAGCTTTTGCTGCACTGGTGGTCTACCTAAACACATTTTTGGTATATTTCAGTGTAAATATTTTATCCCACAAACTGACCCAACCCTTCCCCCTGGGGCCATGATATGAGGAATCCGTGGTTTCTGAGAAGAGGTTGTTTCATAAACAACCTTGATAATTAGTTTGTCTTATCTACATTTAGAAGGCGTGTTGTTCCTTTATTTAACAATTTAAAAAGTCCTAAACTTAAGGTTGCTTACTTCTTTTGCTAAACTTTGCCAAATTGCTTTTGAGAGGAATTTCAAAATGTAAAGAGTTTACGGACAAACGACAGAAATGACGAAGTGAGCTAAAGATTAATTTTGCTGATAAAATTATATGAGAAGGATAAATTTAATTTTGTCCTTACAGTTTTTTTTTTTGTTTCTTATTGACATTAGAGTACATATTTCAGCTTCAATGTTTAAATTAAATACTAATAGATTCCTTATTTTTCACGAGTACTTTTTATCGCGAAAGGCCTCTTCAACATCAAATCGCAAGATTAATAATTCGCGAAAGGACCGTTCTTCAATGGATTTTACATCATTTTCAGCACGAAAAAAAATAAAAGCAAGTAATTTTATTTTGCAAATGGTGCTTCTCGCGAAATTCCGCGATAATTAATTCCACGCGTATATTTAGGAATTTTCAGTATTAAGTCTTCCATATAACTCAAACCAAAGAAACACACACACTAACACACCCTCACACACGCCCTAACACATACAAGTTAATTAATATTTATCGGTCCTGTTCCATTGATTAATAATTAAATGCTTCAAAATATTTTTTTTTTATTTTGAATCTATATGATTATTGCAGAACCTTTACCTAAAAAATATAAATTATAAAAAAAAATCATGAATAAAATCATTAATAGAAGAGAGATCGAGTTTAGAAGTTTCGAAATCTGAAAAAAGAGATACAAACACGTTTTTGATTTTTTTTTTTTTTATTTCAGTACTTGAAAATCTCGAACTATCTCAGACAAAATGGAACATTTTGGTTTCTATTCTGATGTCAGAGACTTACCGTTTATTCCTTGGCGCACAATGGGAAGGAATATCAAGAAAACATCAAAGTTTGTTCCCTTTATTAAGGTGCGAATCAAGAATGTTAGACAATGATATTGCCGAATTGACTGATATCTATAAAGTGTTAAAAAAGGAAAACAACATCCTCAGACTTCTATCAGATGATGTCCGCCATCAGGTGATGAGTTACTTCGTGAAGAATTGTCTGATAACTGACGAGGACTACGAGAATTATATCAAGCTGTCATCTGTTGACTCTTTGTTGGAGTACGTACGGCCATGGTGGTATGATGTTACGTATAAAAATTACCCATTCATATCCCTAGAAAAAAATCTGTTCCTACCGGAGAGTTTGGAGGATTCATTGTTTCAAAGACTTGGCTTAGACGTTATTCGTCACCCCATTATAGATAATGATGAGGAGGATTGTGATCAGAGAACACAAGTTCTATTCAGACAAATAGTGAAAGAAAAATGTGAGTAACATTGCAACCGAGAATAAACTTTTTGTAAGGAAAAAATGAAACTGTTTTTTGAATTAGTCTTGTTAAAGATAATAATTTGTGATTTGTTCATTTCAAGGTTGTTTTACCGAAAGGAAAAAAAAACTGATATACTTTGATGGCAATTTACATGTCAATGTTAAGTTGATAATTTCCACTTTTTAAATTCAAAGTTAACATACCAGAGGAAATATTTTACTGGGAATATGACGCACGATGTAGATACATAGAATGTGCTAAACGGGGAACAAAGACAGTACATAGAGCCCGTGCGATGATTGTTGGATGTGCAGGTGCTGGGAAAACCACCCTTCTAAAACGACTACAGAAGCTAGAATTAAAGGATTTACTGAACGTGTGCTCCACTGTTGGACTTGAGGTTCATGAAGACATGTTTGAACTGGATGAAAACTCTTGTTTGAGAGGTATATATGAAAAATATTTAAACAATATAATGCTTTCTTATGCCGTTTGCAGTTAACAGAGGCAAAAAGCTGAAAAAAATGAATATGTTCAATCGGGTTTTTACAGAGCCAATATTGCAACTACTAAACCTGCGTACGCAAAAAAAGAGTATTTTCTTGCTTTATTAACCTAAAGGAAAAGTAAACGTACATTGAACTTTTGAATTAAATTAAACAATTATTTCAAATATCTTCTCCAGTAATGTTCTCATACATTTTCATTAATCTGTAAGCAACAAGTTACCAAAATCTTGTGTGACTTCGACTGAAAATTCCTGAGTTATTAGAATTGATATGCCAATAACCCAAATTGAAAATAAAAATTCTCCCTTGCGCATCACTAACAAACTTGATTTCCAGTACATTGAGTTCGCCATTGCATTTATCTTTCTCATAGGTTTATAATTAAACCCTTCCGACGGTAGTCTGAATGGCTGAGAGCAGCTGTAATATTCCAAAGTGAACACCCCACCCCCACTCCAACCTAATGAATTCCACGAATTTTCGATTTCGGATAGACTGTAGAGAATCCAGCCATACACATGGTTGCAAAAATTTATTCGAGCTGAAAATATGTAAAAACGATGTCTATAACTCGAATGCATCATTTGGCACTACAAAGGAATGATATTAAGATAATGAACAGTAAGCAATATCTAAGTCCATAAAACAATTCAAAATAGGAGTCGAGCAAAAAACTGGCATCTGAAACATCAGAGGTGGGATCAGGTGCCATGGAGGAGTGAGCATCCCCTGCTGACCTGTCACACCCGCCGTCATGTAATCACTGAAAAATATTGGAATTCATAAATGTATCTGAATCTATTGATTTTGGATCCAAAATGCTTCAGGAATCTTTTTTAACGGTGGCTTTAGGAAAAAAGGTTTTAAGTAGTTTACAGTGGCTGGAACGTTATTGTTGACAACTTACACGAACGATCACGTTACACGAACGATTCCGCACGATTAACGCACGATTAAACCTGTTACACGAACGATCTTTCACGTTAACGATTCTACACGTTACACGATCTTACACGATTGTTAACGCAAACGCACGATTCTTCACTCAAAATAGTATAAATTATTTAGGAATCAATATTTTCAAAACGAAATACGGCTTATTACTTATTTAAGATTTAAAAGAATTGTCACTATTATTTCATAGACGTTGAAGAAAAAACGGAAAATGATATTTCTGTAACTAAATATATGCAAGACTTAATATTTTAGATTAAAAATAATTAATTTTAAGGTAATTCTCCGGTAAAAAAAAAAAGGATTTTGTTCGTTCTATTAGACAATGTACATGTATGTGGGTCGTATAATTTGATTGAATTGGATATCATGATATGCAGAAAGGGGGATACACTGTACGATTGAACAAAAAAGGCAGCATGGAATGACTTAAATTATAATTACATATTTTATCCTTATGTTTCCATTGAATCAATGTCTGATAAACTTGCCAATTATTCAACTTTTTCATTTGCAGAAATTTAAAATAAATTAATTACAAATAGGCTCAAGAGATAAACCGATAATGAAAACTTCGGAAATTCATGCCGTGTCCATGTATATTTGTCGACTAACTAGTTATGTAGGCATACAGAAATGTTTATTTTTTTGTAAAAAAAAAAAAAAAAAAAAAAAAAAGAAAAAAACTATTTATTTTCAATGAATTGGTTTCAAGATTATCCTGACCACAATAAGAAGCAAATAATAATTAAAATAAGATTTTTCATGAAGGCGATTAAGATCTAAGTACGGTTTACCACAATATTGATCGCGCTATTTGACGAGAACTTAACATTGTACGACTTACTATATTGCTTGTTTACGGGCGATGATTAGTTCGTTCTGCATTCTATTATGTAAATTGCGCTTTTTCATTTTAGTTGGATTTTAATTAATAATAATTAAAATAAGATTTTTCATGAAGGCGATTAAGATCTAAGTACGGTTTACCACAATATTGATCGCGCTATTTGACGAGAACTTAACATTGTACGACTTACTATATTGCTTGTTTACGGGCGATGATTAGTTCGTTCTGCATTCTATTATGTAAATTGCGCTTTTTCATTTTAGTTGGATTTTAATTAATAAATTAAGAAAAACAAACAAGGGAAATGCTCATTTTACATGTAACATTCCGATAAAAACTTACAAAACGAAATTAACACGATTCTAAACGCACGATCTCGCACGATTAAAAACGCACACGATTGAGTCTGATACACGAACGATCTTTCACGTTACATGAACGATCGCTCACGATACACGAACGATTCCACACGATTGGTTTATCAACAATAACGTTCCAGCCACTGTAAGTTAGTGGACTGATATAGAAATGTAGCGATCATAATAAATAATAAGATTCATAAGAGAGGAAAATATACTGTACATATATTCAAATGATATTATAGGATTAGTTGATTGATTAGCTGCATATTGGTTTACTTCCTGAAACGTTAGTTCCATTTTATTATTTTCAGAGTTAATATTGTTGCACTGTGTCCGCCGTTTGTCTATCTCTCAATATACAATCAATTGATCAATCTATCTGCCTTTAAACTATTTTTATTTTTAAAAGTTTTCTCCTAGGAGATGATTAGCGCTGTTAGTATGATGTGTTTTCTGTGTAGATTCCACTAATTTAAAGATACATACATATACGTTTTGGTTTTTGATTTTGATGAACCGTGTTTCCATTGTGACCATGCATTAAAAAAAATCTGTAATTTTTAGCTCACCTCAGCTGAAGGCTAAAGTGAGGATTTCTGATCAAAATTTTTCCGTTGTCTGTCGTCGTAGTTGTTGTCGTCGGGGTCGTAGGCGTCGGCCTAAACTTTTCACATTTTCATCTGCCTCTGTAGAACCACTGGGTCAATTTCAACTAAACTTGCCACAAAGTATCTTTAGGTAAAGGGGATTCCAGTTTGTTCAAATGAATTCGAAGAACCACGCCCTTTTCCCAGGGGAGATAATTATGAAATAGTGAAAAATTAATGGCATTTAAAAAAAAAATCTTCTTCTCAAGAACCACTCAGCCAAGAAAAATAAAACTCACGTGGAAGCATCCCCAGGTAGTGTAGATTCAATTTTTTTTTCAATTCATGCCCCCCGGGGGTAGGGTGGGCCACAATGGCATATCAAAGTTTTACATATGTATATATAGAAAAAATCTTATAAAATCTTCTGATGAAGAACCACTAGGCCAGTAATGATGAAACTCATGTGTAGGTATCCTCAGGTAGTTGTATCCTCAGGTAGTGTAAAGGACCAAAGGGTATGGCCACAAAGGTGGATCAAAGTTTTACATAGTAAAATATATGAGGAAATCCCAAGAACAGAAAAGCTTTGTGTAGTCAAATTGACATGTAAGCATTCTCATGTATTGAGAATTTAAATTTGTTCCAAATCATGGACTATTGCGGTATGGAGAGTAACAATTGGGCAACAAATTTAAATTATTACAAAGTTATATAGAGAGACAATGTTAAAAGAATCTTCAAAGTCATATGCTGTATTTATATGATGGCATTCTCAAGTAATATTAAAATTCGAGCACCCCCTCCCCCCCCAACCCTTCAGTGAACTTTTCAGTTCTAATCTGATTCCGAAAAGCTCAGATAAGCGATGTGGCCCCTGGGTCTCTTGTTTTTAAACGTTACTTCCTTTAGTGTGAAATCAACATAATTGGTAAGCATGTAAGTCAGGTACACTTTCAAAAGGTCCATTATTCTGTTGATTTCGATGAAGGATGCTGCCAGGGAAGCTAAAAATTATCCTCTTACAGTCCTATTTCTACTCAACATTGACATACATGTACATAATTCATTATATTGTTTTAATGTCGATGAAAAGTGTTCCTATGTTGCTTAACATATTAAGAAAGACGTGTCTTTTTTTTTTATTAAATTCTTATTCTTCTACAGATTTAATCAGATTGTTATCAGACATTCCACAAAAGTAGGCTTCTTTAAGATGCTTTTTTCTACATATTAATTTTTTTTTTTCATTTTGATAAAAAGTATTAAAATAGAAATATAAATGAAATTCTTTCAAAGGCTACTCCTCTTAATTTTTGTTTGGATTTCATTAAGAATTTCTTGGTAAGTAGACGATTGCTGATCACACTAAGATAAATCATTCGTTTTATCAGATAAACGGCAAAGATCACGAAAAATAAAAATTTTCTCCAAAAAGTATTAATCCTTGTTTTTTTCTTCGATATCAGTAAGACTTATTCTTTTTAAAAACAAGGAACATCTTTAGGATACATTCGTATCTCCGTTTAGTATTTACACATGATGTTTACCACATTTATTAATTAGATTTTTTTTTCAAAGTCTACTCCTACTATAACTTTTGTCTGCTTGTAATCAAAAAGACACCAAGAGACTAAACATCATACGGATCATCATTCTATCATTTGCTATTACAATAGTTTCCAGTCCAAGTGGTGTTTTTCTCTACCTCTTTTTAGCTAAAGGAAGTATAGCTTCCGTCTCATCCGATTCATCCTGATTTTTAGCTCACCTGAGCCTAGGTTCAAGTGAGCTTTTCTGGTCACATTTTGTCCGTCGTCCGTGCGTACTTCCGTCTGTCCGTCCGTCTGTGAACTTTTCACATTTTCGACTTCTTCTCAAGAACCAATGTGCCAATTTTAACTGATGAGTACAAAATATCCTTGGGTGAAGGGGAGTCTTAATTGTTAAAATGAAGTGCCAAATCCACTTATAAGGTAAGGAAATCAAGAAAAGACAAAAATAGGGTTGGGTCACTAAAAATCTTCTTTTTCTGAAACTTACGTAGAAGCATCCTTGGGTAGTGTAGATATTAAATTGTTAAAATCATGACCCCCGTGGGTAGGGCGGGGCCACTATAGGGATTCCAAGTTTTACATAGAAATATAGAGAACAAATCTTTAAAAATCTTCTCAAGAACCGCTGGGCCAGGAAAGCTGAAACCCATGAAAATCATGACCCCCTGGTGTAGGGCGGGACCACTATTGGGAATCCAAGTTTTATATAGAAATATAGAGAACAAATAGTTAAAAATCTTCTCAAGATCCGCTGGGTCAGGATATCTGAAAAAAATTATGTAGAAGCATTCTTAGAAGTGTAGATATTGAATTATAAAAATCATGACCCCCGGGGGTAGGGCGGGGCCACAATAGGAAATTCCAAGTTTTACATAGAAATAAATAGAACAAATCTTTAAAAATCTTTTTCTAAAGAACCAATGGGCCAGGAAAACTGAAACTTATGTGGAAGCATTTAAAAGTTTTAAAATCATAAAAAGGAAGGGGGTAGTGGGGCATGATAGGTATAGCAAGAGGGGAAATCTGGTAAAGAACTGCATCATCCAAGTTACTCAGATGAGCGATGTGGACCATGAGCCTCTTGTTTTAAGTTAGTTTTCCAACATGATGATTAGCGTGCTGCGCAGCTGTTATCACGAAATTTTAATATTATAAAATTGAACAAATTGTTCTGAAATGTTAAAAATACTCTTCCTGGTCTTTTTTTCACGCACAAAAATTCTATTTATTTTGTAAGTCACGTTCAACTGAATTTCGAATGTACTTTGACAATGATCTCTTTAACATCCACCTAAATATGTAATTTTATGAAGACAATGTTTAATTTTCAATTAGACCATGCAATCATTTTACAGCATTATCAGACACAAAAACAATCAAAGACGACAAGCAGATTCTTAGTGTGGTTGATTTTGGAGGCCAGTGTGCTTACTATGCCTGTCATCAAGTGTATCTGAGCAGAAGAGCTTTCTATCTGCTGGTGATAGATATGTCAAAATCATTTACAGAAAAAGTTGACGAAAATAAATGTGAGCAACGGGGGACAATATTTGCTGACTGGACATATGGAGGTAATAAAAAGAGTTAAATGCTTAGTTAGTCAAAATGTTTTTTTATATTTTACTATTAGTATAGAGAACATTTGTTAATTACAAAGGTGAATATTTGGCGCAATAGGTTAAAATAATGAAGAAATAGCAAGCCTCTGTTTAAGTTTAAAAAACGCAATTTGAATATAGTTCAGATATAGTTGATAAGAAATTATCAAACTCCGGGGTATTGTTGTTCTGTAAGCCTTTTTATTAAGGAAAATTTTGCTATTAATAGAAGTCACGTGATGCCGTGGCGGGGATGCACGTCTTTGCCTTAGACACGCTTTTATCTGTATGCAATAGTAAATAACAAATTACGTTTATCAGTGGTTTTGGTAATTTATTAAACTAAATTTTCTTCAAAAAGTCTAAATTTCCCGAGAAATTACTTATATGCTTCCTTAACATACCTGCGTAATATGTTTTAAAATATTTTTTTTAAATCTTCTTCTGAAGTTTATGTTTCATTGATTTCACGACATTCTCAAGTAATAGGAAAATTTAAACTCCTCTAAGTAACAAGCAAACGTTTCAATAAGGAGCTGATTTGTGTTTTTTAACTACTGTTAAGGTGAGCGATGTGGTCCATGGACTTCGTGTTGGAATTAGTTTTTATTTTATCCGTAAACAATGTTAAGGGGATACATGTACAGTATACTGGAATCACTATATCCGTCTGCTTGTCGGTTTCTCTAGCTGTCCGTCTATCTGTAGACGGGATTTTGTCCGTTTGTTCTCTACGTCTTTTGCATGGTTCTGACAGAAATGCTATTTTCTAAATATACTCACCGTCAATGGAAACGCAACACCCTAATTTTAGGGGTGAATATTATGTACGGGATATAACTATGTACCAAAAAAGTTAAGAAATCTTTTACTTTGCCAAATCAGTTTTTTAACGGTTGAATGATTTTCATTCCATTACCAGAAGTTGATTTTTTAGCTCCCTGAACAGAAACGAAAAATTGGCATTTTCAATAAAATTATTGTCAATATTTTGGGGTTTCAAGGTTTTGTACCTGTTAATTATAAGTCTTGTATTCAAAGTCCGGAAAAAATATCCTTCTTTCACTTCCGGATGTGATGCCTGTATTTCCTCAAAGTAACTGAAATCACACATTTTCATCGCTAATGTTGAAATTTTTCAAAATAAAGAAAAGGGAGAGCTAAAGATGCAAATATACACTACATAACGACTTTTCGGGCTCATGTGTTTCAAAAGCATGAATGACAGTTCCTTGACCGGAAGTCCAAGGGTTACTACACTATGCCAAATTAGAGAAAATTCGACCTCAGTATCTGAAAAACAGGCATTCGGTTTATAAGGTTTAAAGATAAGATTAAGAATGAATACATAAATTCAAAAAGTAAATTTACAAAAAAATGATACTTCATTTAACTTTAAATGTTATCTTTAGACCTTAGAAAGTAACACATAACTTTTAAAACATCCCCCCTTCCGACCATTCAATTTAAACGTGCTAGTCCGCCATGTACAACATAAGCAGCCCGATTTCTACCATGCATTAAGTTTATCAATGTCTTAATCTGAGCAAAATAAATATTCTTGTCCTTTTTTAAATGCCTGTTTTTCAGATACTGAGGTCGAATTTTCTCTAATTTGGCATAGTGTAGTAACCCTTGGACTTCCGGTCAAGGAACTGTCATTCATGCTTTTGAAACACATGAGCCCGAAAAGTCGTTATGTAGTGTATATTTGCATCTGTAGCTCTCCCTTTTCTTTAATTTGAAAATTTCCAACATTAGCAATGAAAATGCGTGCTTTCAGTTACTTTGAGGAAATACAGGCATCACATCCGGAAGTGAAAGAAGGATATTTTTTCCGGACTTTGGGTACAAGACTTATAATTAACAGGTACAAAACCTTGAAACCCCAAAATATTGTCAATAATTTTATTGAAAATGCCAATTTTTCATTTCTGTTCAGGGAGCTAAAAAATCAACTTCTGGTAATGGAATGAAAATCATTCAACCCTTAAATAACTGATTTGGCAAAGTAAAAGATTTCTTAACTTTTTTGGTACATAGTTATATCCCGTATATAATTTTCACCCCTAAAATTAGGGTGTTGCGTTTCCATTGACGGTGAGTATATATTCACCTGTGAAGATATTTTCCTTGATATATTATTATGATAAAAAAAAAATATTATGTTAATTTTTCCGGTGGTGTAAACGTCTAGTCAATTGCATGGGTTTGTCTGTAGATTTATACTCTCGATAATTTCATATACACTGTAGAGATGTACACATGATATTTTCGAAGACATGATTAAGTCAATATTTTTAGTGTTTTACATTTTTTTTCATTACACATAGCTTGATAGCAAATGAAAAAAAGGTTCAAAACAATGACATAAATATTCACTATACTTTACTACAGACTACAAAACAGATAGTGCAAATCCATGAATCCCTCTGGATGGAGTTTTGAGTGGACATGCATCCATTCAAATAATAATTAATGAGTACAATGTAGGGAGGTTATCTGCCTCAAGTATTTCAATTACAGTATTTATAAACTATCAGCAATTATTTGTATTATAAGGCAGACAAACTGTTTCATGTAGTTGATTTCCCTTATTGTAATTTATAGCAGATGTCGCTTGTGATAAAAGCATGTTGAATTATACACATTTTTTAAAGAATATACTCTTCCCATCTCTGTCTTTGGCATTAGAAGCAAGATGACTAAAACAACTTTTTGTTCAAAGAAAATTTTAGCGTAACTTTATCTGTTCAAAAGAGGTGTGCAGAAAAATAACAGATATGTTTTTTTTTTTTTTCATTTTAAGAAATTTGTTCAACCCATTCATTCCAAAATAAATTACGATTATATTTAGTTTTTGGTATTTCAGAATATATTCTTTTCTGGCTGAAATCTGTTCACAATTATTGTGCTGAGAACACGTCAATCATTATTGTAGCTACACACTGTGAAGATGTTACACAAAAGGTAATAAGTTCACATGATATATAAGATAGGAAGTCTTTTTCTCAGCTTTATTTCAAAACTTGAAAAAGAATGGAGTATGTACTGGTTCGTTAAAATTGAACAAATACGACGGCTGTTCAATAGATAATTTCCTGAACTTAGCTGCAATAATGTAGCTTGTGATGAAAATAATTGAACTTACCTGCAATAATTGTAATGAAAAGTAACACTAAGCATCGATGAATAAAACCATTCCATGTGTCATTTTTTCGTAAACAGCGATATTTAGGCTTAAAATAAGGTTATTCCAAAGAAATCCGCTCCCTAGAGATCCTTAATCTCATTGGCTGTCCCAAAAGATAATCTGTCAAGGTCAGTAAACATGGCGGATAAATTTAAGTTGTGATGTCGACTTACACGAAAAATACTGATATATGGATTGTTATGTATTTTTTGGGATCGATTTATGTCTGGGATAACTACATTTTGGAAGTTCAGTTTAGGTATATAAATAAAATTGCCGTTTGCAGACAATTTGAGCCGAAATCCGCGCGGGAATGATTCGCTCCCGCTTCTGCGCCATAATAGAGATCCTAGTTGTACCCCTCTCCCCCCCCCCCAAAAAAAAAGTGGAGAGGGCTACATTATTGCAGCTATCCTGAACTGTATGAGATACAATACAGATATCATATGACATTAATCTTGACTTTTTCACATTATTGAATCTTAATTGTATTTAGAATAATTTATTCGCCCACTTTTCATCACATAGTTTAATTGTAAGAAGCTTGAAAACATAGGCTATTCGAGAGACTGCTTTAAAATGAATTGTAAAGAATAAGTAAACTAGAATGAAATTAAACGCTTCATAAACGCTGCTGTAAAACTCGTTAAGAATCCCTAAAAATATTCAGTGAAATATCTAAAATTTACGGCAACCAGTGTCTGTTTTATATACATGTACAAATGATAAGAAGGATTTCAATCATGAAAAATTATATAGTGAGAATCAAAAATGTGTACAGTCCTTTGCTACAAAAAATATACCAAGTGTAAGAATATCTAGACAATTATTTTAAAAATATCAGTAATTGTTATTATCCACGTTTGTTTGAATTTCAAACAGAAAATGAAACTTGAATCTATTGCTTAAAATCCTCGAAATAAAGTTAATCATAAGATGAACTTGACAAAAACAACAAAGGTCTGAGAAGAGCATTGAATTGCAAAATCACAAATACAGATGTATTGCAATTTTCTTAAATATTAGTGGTCTTGTTGTTCTAATTCGTATTCGAGGAGATTCTGTTTAAATTCTGGAAGAGTCTAGAAAGCAATCTTTTGCAAAAAATTCGAAAAATTATTGAGAGGTAGGAACCAGAATCAGGAATTTACTACATTAAATTTCTTTACCCCCGAATACCTTAAGGGTAAAAGGGTTTTTGCGATAAACAAGAAGCTAATTTTTTCACATTAACAATATTCGCCAGATCTTTTTCTTTTTGTTTCATTTTCCAAACTTACAAAACACCTATCAGAAGGAAGAAACGAGTCCAGGATATCATAAGATCTGCCATTTTCTTGTACACTTAGGGTCATACACAAAAATGAGTTCTGAAAACCATCAGAAATTGAATAAAAACGATTTCGGACTTGTGTTATAATCAAAACAGAATATTAAGTAAATCATAAAGACTAAAGATCGTCTTTTGCTTCTTTACGAGCACGGAGGACATTATTTATTGAACATCACTCTTATACATGTGTTTTGCTGCATTAGAATATTATATTATAAATCGAGGTTATGTGTAGTCGGAATCAAAAACATCATTTTATTTGTTTCATTTGTCATTATTTTTGGTAACTCTTGTTGTTTTTTGTGAATGAGAACCATATATATTTATATACTGTATTGTAAGCATTGTACATATTTATTGATTCTGTAGGATAAAAACGAATTTTATGGAAAGCTCTTGGATTTGCTACCTACAGATTCCAATCTTAAGAAACATTTACACCATGAGAGGTGTTTCTTTGTCCATTTTCCTTGTGATAAAGGCGGAAAATTGGAAATTTTATCTGAATTAGAAAACTGTATTGTTACTATTGCCAAAGACAGAAGATGGAAAGAAAACATTCCAAAAGAATGGTCCATAATTGAACTTGTCTTAATCAAAATGAGACGTTCTATCAAGATCGTTTCCGTCAAAGATCTCAAAGAGACATATTGGAAGGCTGAGAAAGATGATGGTATAAAAATAGAAGATGCGCTGTGTTTTTTCCACGATATTGGATTGATTTTGCACTTTAAAGAGGAGAACCTTTCAAATACTATCATTGTTGACGTCCAATGGTTTGTTGATATATTTAAATTTATAATATCGGACAGAAATCATGTCCGAGATTTAGCAGAAACAGACAAAGACTGGCAGTACTTCCAAAGGACAGGGTATCTCATGGACAATTTCCTTAGTCGAATTTGGGAGAGCTTAACTATAAAATCTCGGGAAAGGCCTACCATTCTGCAATATATGCAAAGACTAGGATTACTTGTGATAGGGGAAGTAAAACACTATGTCCCATGTATGAATAAAAGAGATTTTGGCAGAAATGAACAAATTGCATTACGAGGAATGGAAACACAATCTTCCGTGTTGGTGCTTCATTTTCACTTTTTGCCTTTCTTCTTTTACTGTCGATTGATAGTTGCATGTATCGTGGGAACAGAGTGGAAGGTGGTAGAGGATGAAGGTATACCATGCTTGTATAAAAACATAGCAATTTTTGTATACATGGACCATCTTATTGCCTTGGTTGTGACGCAAACTGCAATTCAAGTCCAGATTTTGAGACCACAAAATTTGCCTATTGATGCCATCATTGCCGTAAATATAAAGCATATTCTAGAAAATAGACTTGGTTACTTAACAAGTACATTTCACAAAAAAGTTGCATATAGAGTTGCATTTCAGTGTTCAGATCAAGATGTGCTGTGCGATAATGTAGGGTGCTACGTGTATGAAGATGAAATATCAAAGAAAGGTCAAATACTATGTCCAAGACATGGATTTACAAGGAAGCACATGATAAACGAAGACGCTCTGACAAAAATCTGGAAAATCGTAAGTGACCGTATTTCATTTTTTGAAAATGTCATAAAAGATACCAACTACAAAGATTTAAAAGCGATGTTTAAACATTGGATATTTCTGAGATATTTCTTGCAATGTTTTGCAAACTCAGCTTTCAATATTGAAAAAAAATATATAATAAATATTTATCATAAAATGATTTGTTAATTATACATTAAATGTTGTTATTTGTTATTTTATTCTCAGGCCACACCATCTGTTTCCTGTACTAAATCTGGGAAAGGTAAGCAACTCATTAAATTAAAATTATATTATCTTATCAAATATTATAATGATGTGTATTATAATTCAATTTCAAATGCTAATATGGATTTCGTCTATCACAGTTCCATTGACAAACGAAGAGAAGTTGAGAAAGCTTATAACACTTGGAAAAGATGCTTTGCAGGTGTATTTTGATTCCATTTTTCCATCAGAGGATTTACAAAAATGCCTCAAAGATAACAAGGAATCCCTTTGTAATGGACCTTATAGATTCACAGCTAAAGAAGTTAACATTGTTTATCCAGGTAATAATATGTTACTAATGAAAACCTATAATACAAAATAAAAGAATAAACAAAATGATGTTTTGACTTTCGATATAACTGAACAGATTGAGATTTTAATGTTTTAATATAATAAACAAAAGTAAAAATCATCCTGGTGTTACATCACAGCCTCCGGGTCAGCTGTAGAGTCCTCTTTGTTTGATGTCCCCATCATGTACAAATTATTGAGAAATTTCGGGAACAACGTTCCACCGCCAACTAATGGTTGGGGAAAGGAGCCAAATGTTGGACAGAAAAACCAGGGTGACGACATTGAGAGAATTCGCAAGTACAGGAATCAGCTTTGTCATAATCAATTCAACACACAGAACATGGATGATGATGATTTTGTATTTTATAGAGAAGAACTGACACAGGTAAGTGCCCATATTTTCCTTTTTATTAGACTGGGTAGTTTATTTTGTATCTTCGAAGTAGTACTCATACAGTATTTTCATTAATATTGCAAACACTTATATTAATTCTGTAATAAGATTTATTCATTCATATATGTTCAATCCTAATTTATCAAAATCTTTAAAATGCTGATTTACTTTACATTTGGAATTATATATTTTGCTAAAATATATTTGGAATAATACAATATTTTCAATAAAACTTACCGAACATAATGCTTAAATACTCCAATTGATCTAATAAAGAGACAAACGCATGGAGAAACTTATTTTAATCCGACATGCTATTTTATTTTCAGGCAATACTGAGACTCACAAAAAGATCTTTTAAAAGCAGAATTAAGGACATTTGTCAATAAATTACAAAGGTAAGAGTTTTCTAAATAACATGGAGAGGTTATATGTAACTCTCCCTTACCTGAGATGCCAGATCTAAGATATGCTTTTTCTTACGTTGCCCTAACATTTGCATTATGTTTTGTTATACGCAAGTGAGTTGAGACTCAACATTGGTGTTTCTATGCAAATAAGCTAATAAAATTGCACAATTTGTATATTTCATGTATTTCATGTACAAGGAAAGTTAGCGTAAATTGATTTTCTTATACATACTTGGTACCAATAGTATGTATATGCACGTGCACATTTTGACGTCATATTATAACGTCACTATTGTTTCCCATTCAAAGTGTTATGCAACGTCATCAACAAAACAACGTCGGTGCAAAGGCATATCTTTCTTAGCTCACCTGAGCCGAAGGCTCAAGTGAGCTTTTCTGATCACATTTTGTCCGGCGTCCGTCTGCCTGTCCGTCCGTCTGTCTGTCCGTAAACTTTTCACATTTTCGACTTCTTCTCAAGAACCGCTGAGCCAATTTCAACCAAACTTGCCACAAAGCATCCTTGGGTGAAGGGGATTCAAGTGTGTTCAAATGAAGGGCCACGCTCTCATTTAAGGGGAGATAATTTAGAATTAGTGAAAATTTGGTGGTATGTTTTAAAAATCTTCTTCTCAAGAACCACTGTGCCAGGAAAGATGAAACTTATGGGGAGACATCCTCAGGTAGTGTAAATTCAAATTTGTTCAAATCATGTCCCCTGGGGGTAGGGCGGGGCCAAAATGACTGACCAAAGTTTTACATAGAAATATATAGGAAAATTCTTTAAAAATCTTCTTCTCAAGAATAACAAAGCCATAATTCATCAAATTATATATGGAAGCATGCTCAGGTAGTGTAGATTCAAGTTTGTTCAAATCATGACCCCCGGGTGTGGGGCGGGGCCAAAATGACTGACCAAAGTTTTACATAGAAATATATAGGAAAATTCTTTAAAAATCTTCTTCTCAAGAATGACAAAGCCATAATTCATCATATTTATATGGAAGCATGCTCAAGTAGTGTAGATTCAAGTTTGTTCAAATCATAACCCCCCGGAGGTAGGGCGGGGCCAAAATGGCCGACCAAAGTTTTACATAGAAGTATATAGGAAATTCTTTAAAAATCTTCTTCTCAAGAATGACAAAGCCATAATTCATCATATCTATATAGAAGCATGCTCAAGTAGTGTAGATTCAAGTTTGTTCAAATCATGACTCCCGGGGGTAAGGAGGGGCCAAAATGGCCGACCAAAGTTTTACATAGAAATATTTAGGAAAATTCTTTAAAAATCTTCTTCTCAAGAATGACAAAGCCGTTATTCATCATATTTATATGGAAGCATGCTCAGGTAGTGTATATTCAAGTTTGTTCAAATCATGACCCCGGGGGTAGGGCGGGGCCAAAATGGCCGACCAAAGTTTTACATAGAAAAATATAGGAAAATTCTTTAAAAATCTTCTTCTCAAGAATGACAAAGCCATAATTCATCATATTTATATGGAAGCATGCTCAAGTAGTGTAGATTCAAAATTGTTTAAATCATGACCCCCCGGGTTAGGGTGGGGCCAAAATGGCCAACCAAAGTTTTTGTTTTTTTTAAAGATATATATATAGGAAAATTCTTTAAAAATCATTTTCTAAAAAATAGCAAATCCATGATTGATCATGGGACTAAGTTTCGATTTAAACTTTACAATAAAAAGCCATTTTCTACTTTTTCCTACCCTTAGTGCTCAGGTGAGCGATGTGGCCCATGGGCCTCTTGTTTAATTTGAAATAGATAATGTATAATATTAAGGAGAATATTCTTATTATTAAAAAATCCTGGCACAAGTCCTATGCACGTTCTTAATTGATAAACATTTTAGGAAACTTAGTATGGACTGTGAATTTCTAACCTATTATAATTAAAACTGTACGAATAGTAATTTCACAATTTCAGTATCAGAAATATCCTTAATCCTTGGAATATCCTGTATATTTTTTTTTTACCTCGTGTCTGTATCACCACTACAAATGTGTTCGGAACCATTTACTCTTCGGCGTTCTTCAAATTATAAAACCCGATGAGTTCAGAGTAGCTATTTTTAGGGGACGTCTCGCCTGTCCTTAATTGCAATAGCCATATAAGGTAAACAAAGGTTTGTCAATGAAGATGATATTACACTTTTATTTACTTGCTTAACGACGATAGTGTTCTGTAATTTTTGCACATAACTATGATAAGATATATTAATTATTAACCCCCCCTTTCGCCGAATCTATTTTTTTGATGGTTGATGTTTCTGATAAACCTGTGTAGTAGAGGTCGATGACATCATAATATGACGTCATAATGTGCACTGGCTATCGTTGTAACCAAATATGTTTTAAAAACAAGTCTTACAAGTAATATTATCTGTGTACTATGTAGAGCAATTATGGGTTTTAATTATTTATTCAATATAGAAACCCCTATACATACATGTAGCCTTCACTCACTCGCGTTAGCACATTTTTTTAATCTTAAGAATCCTTTATTTGTCACAGAATCCCAACAGATATTAAAGCGATATGATACATCGTCGTTTTGAAGGCAAAGAATCAACAAGACAGAAAGAAAAAGAAGATATTGAGAGACAATGAACCGAAGTTACACGACTTACCTCTAATAAAATAAACATTTCAAAAAATTCTTTAAAGCTTTTACTTAGTATCACATTCAATTTAGATTTTTTTTATTATTAATGTTGATAATTTCTTTGATGTGATTGTCAAGAATGAAAATGAATAACCACTTATTATTTATTAACAGATTAATCATGAAAATAAATCGTTTCCACGACTTGAATGTCAAACTAATTGCTCGCAGTCTTAATCAATATTACTCGGAAAAAGAATGGAACACATTTACATGTTGGTTCTACTTCTAGAGTGTGAGTAGCCTTTTTGGCAAATGATTCATAAAAGATGACATAGAGAAATGACATACGCGATGTCTTTTTAAAAAAGTACAATTTGCATATGCATGTTTGAGTCTTTTCAGTTTTGACCTTGATCTAAGAATTTGATTTGCATATGCGAAACATCATTCTTCTACCTAAGCTGCTATAAGAGGGTATCATCGTTTCAAACACAGAATTTGGCACTCCACTAGATTAAAACTTATTGAAGTCAATAGCCCCTTGATTATTTTAGTCGTGTATATCAAAAGCTAGTTTTATCACAATGATTCTCTTTGAGTTTATATCAAACGTAATTTAATTTTGACAATTTTTTTAATTTTCAAAAGCTGTGCAAGTGAATAATATTTGTTTTGATTTATTCGATATATTTTGTCTAAAGCTTTCCATGACCGGGAAACGTACACAGTCAATGGTGACATGTTTTGTACGTAACAATTTTTTTTATTTTTTTTTTGTCATTGTATAGTTATAGCAAATTTTGTTACGGGGTTATATTTACTTCAGAATTGTTACACTTGTAACTCTTTTTATTGTATCAAATTGCAAAATTACATATAAATATATATGAATAAGAAGACCAGTGTTATGTTTTAATGAAACCAAATTCAATTTCAATCTAGATGGCCACAATGTAGTTTACTTCTGTAAGAAGGTTATTTATATTTACTGGATTTAAGAAATTCAACCATGAGAAGCAATGACCAATGTTCTATCTAACTGCAGTATTACATTATTTTATAGAGGTAAAAATGAACGATTCTTATAATGTGTAGCATGACAAACCATATTCATTTCTTTACAAAAGGCTATTTTTTTTTTCACACATTTTGCAACGATTTCCTTTTCGTCATTTAAAATACAACCTATCAAATAATGATATAAATAGTGTATCAACTCAATTAGTCTGCGATAAATTCTTGAAGACATGCACAGTAATTAACATTTAGTCAAGGTTTAAACATATTTTAGAATCTTTAAAAAGTTTTAGAAATTTCCATAAAAGAGTCCAAAACATCTGCATTGACATTTTGATTGATTATAAACTTCCCAATTTATTTGAATCTTTTATGTTGAAAATAAGGAAAAAATCATGAAAATCCTTTCTTTTGCATTTAAGATTAAAAGGAAACGTAAATGATTTAATGTTTCCTTTTTGAAATTTTTTTTAAAATGGGGGGCACTGCAGAACTGAACATGTCCCGTAACATAAATGTATATGGAACAGTGTAAAGTGTAGTCATTTGAAGATGCAACAAATATTCTTACAAAAGAACACTCCACAAATTGAACCAATGTCTGGTTCCTTTTAAGGACACAAGTTCAAGAAAATTATCGATATTTCCAAATCCTTGATATAAAAAATTAAATCAAAATTTCTCATTCAGTAAATTGTTCATTCCAATTTTTTCTCTTTTAATTTTAAGAAAATACGGTACTTCATTGATATTTCTTACCTCATAAATTAAATAAAAATAGTACCATCTTCAAAATGCTCATTATTATATTAATTATCCTATGAAATAAGACCTTTTTACATGATTTTTTAGCATAGAAAGTACTTTATCTAAATCATAATATAGTATTTGTATACCCCAGCTCTAAATTTTAACCTCATGGAAATGTGTTCAATAAATTTTATTCATTAATTTCATGTAATCATGAAGCATTAAGATAAAATGATAAAACATTCATTAGTAAGACTAGTGATTAGTAAGACCTTGTGCTCAGCCTGTAGTCACTGTTTCAGTTTCCACCAACTTGAAATTTGAAAATATTTGAGACCTTTTTCAATCACATTTCCTGATGTCTATCAATTTACATGATATCTAAAAATGTGTTTCTAGTTTTTGTTCTTAATATTCTTTAGAATAGAACTTTTTTAAAATTGTCTCTTGCTTTCTTCCGTTTTTTCTTATTGATTGATTGTATATTGTTTAAAGTCCCAAATGTGAATTTTTCACTCATACAGACACGTCACCGAATGCTGATGATGAAGGACTTTTAATGTACCACAATATTTGGCACTCAGGGCCATTGAGCAGTGAGGGTTCTTTATCGTACCCATGCCTACCGTGACACGTGACTTACGTTTTAAGTCCCGTGACTTTCGCTTCTAGTACTTGGCGAAGGAACAGTCACTAGCTATGTTTACGTCTTAGGTTTGACGCAGTGCTGACAGGGAATCGAACCCGGGTCTGTCGGCCACAAAGCGGACACTCTACCACTAGGTTACCGTTTTTTTCTGATTGCTGACTATGCTTACATTAAATATACCGTACTTGTTAATTATAATCAAGTTTTGTGTTAAATGTTTTAACAGTGCACAATAACATAACATCCTCAATATGTTAATATTTTATTTGGATTTTAACACAAAATAAAAACTGTTAAAATTCATTTTTACGATATTTTTATTAGTTTTGATAAAATTTCTAGACGTTCGATGTAGAGGACATTCAGCTGATGTGGAAAACTCTCGTGACCTGTAGCTTCCTGGTCAGAAACGTCCTGGTGCTTGTAAATTTTAATTGGTGATGACCTTGCACTTGACCCAAAATAACACCTCCCCCACGGGAAGGGGTCGTTGTTTCATTGTCTTGAGTTGATGCTCCAAATTGATTGTTTTCCTCGCCATTATTACTTGAATTCCTTTGTACATCCTCGATATCTGTGTCCTTTCCTGACCTTCCTAGCTTGTTCAATGTATAGCAGCATATGAAGATCTTAAAAAAAAAATGAAAATACATATTTTTTTCGTTTCAAAAAATTATTTTTTAAAACAAGAAGTTGCATATATTTAGGCATTTAAGGATAATATTTAATTGATATATCACTCATTTTATTTTTAGGACATCTATATTCATTATGCTTTTTGTATTTTAGAATTTGAAGTGCAAGTTTTAATCAAAGTAAATGAAAATTAAATTTAAAAAATACATAAAATTCTCAGTATATTTTAGAACATATTTGCTCTTCCAATTATGCATGTGCATTAATAAATATTAGATTTTTATTTTTATAGTAAGTTTAATATTCTTGTATACCTCAAGGACTACATAGCATGATGCTGCCAGAGAAAGATGAAAACCCCAGCTCTTTTCGTGGTTGTTATAGTTTGTAACAACAAACATGCACCCAGAAAAACTAATGATTCCTTTGAAAATGAAAGACAATTCAATGAATGATAAAAATTCATATATCAATAAAAAAAATAAATTAAGCAAAGTGTTCACCAAAATTACAATGTAAGTTTACAATGAAATATAAGACAAAAAGGGCCATTCTCAAGCTCAACAATGAATAAAACCTTGACTTCAAAACATCCGATGTGGAATCATGAACCATAGAGGATTGATAATTCCTTTTCCATCCTTGATTCCGACCGCGTGCTCCCTGTGGGGGATTTTTACCCCGAAAATTTAATGTAGTCTCAGAGTAGGATGAAGAACGCCTGACAGCATATGACTTAATTATAAATTGTATCTGCTGACAAGTTCGTTGTAGCGACAATTCAGTTTACGAAATAGTGATGATGAGACTTGAGAAATATAAACAGAGAATGTGGGTGATAAAGATACATTGCTTTCCAAAAAAGGGAAAATGACGATTGAAAAAAAAGTACAAGTCATCGCAATTATCATAAAGCTTGGTTGTTATATAACATAACGACTATTTCCCAAGAACAATATCAAAATATAAAACTCATATGTCAGACTCAGTGGTATCTTTTATCTCAAGCACGTCTGAATATATCATATCGCCTTTAGAATAAAATAACTATGCGTCGTCGATATTATTATGAATTATCTAAATATCAAAATGAAGGTCACAGTGTCAAATGTTTTCCTCTTTTCAAGAGCAATTCAGAAATAATTTTATAGTTTTTTTTTCAGTTCCAGTATTGTTTTATGTTTTAAAATATGTGTTTACAGTGAAAGCTTTTGTGCTGTTTTGGAAAGCGTTCAGATTTACTTCTAACCTTGCGAACTTACAAGGCATCGATAAAAGCAAAAAGATCGGATTAGAATGCAAATTCGTTTGGAAAAATTTTATTTTATTATTAGGACATATATATGTTGAATGAAAGTATATGACATTATACCTGAAAGAGGGTAAAGGCAAATAAAACACAATCCAAATTTATGATAACACCCCAGGCTGTTTTGTTGGTCGTCTTTACTGTAGCATAAAGTATACAAGAGAACAATTGTTGAAAGGGCAATAATGATTAAAGCTGTAGTCTGGCATCCCAAAACTGTTGGACCGAGTCCTGGAAAAACGATTTTTATTATTTTAATGAATACCAATATTGGATACAACATGTGCATGCATTTATTTGGCACTGTTTTAAATATATGTTTGCGAACTTTATGATCTGCTATAGATATTTCATGTACATTTGATTTTTTTCTTTCGAAAAGCGTGAACATTGATCAACTGAAATTTAAACAACATAATATTTTGACATTATTTATTATTTGTTAATCAAAAAGCAAAACAGCTATTATTACTCTGCTTTTGATAACTACAAGGTAGCAAAAGGAAAGAATGGCATATGGCCTTCTGTTTATTTTTTTTACAAACTGTAATTCAGATAATGTAATATAAAATTTACAAAATGAAGACACCATAGGAAGTTAATTTCACTAAGTGGTAATGATTAAATCACCCAGTAATATAAATGTTCCATTGAAGATTTAAATCACCGGGGAAAATACGTGCCAAACTTTCCTAAAACTTTAAAGGAGGCTTATTACACAACTTTTTGATGACGTACTACACAAAAAATAAACCTTCATTGTGTCGACTGTTTTCTTCTGGGGACGAATTGTACAGTTATCCTTGTAATATGACCCTGCCCATTAAAAAGCTTTAAAAATATATATTTAAAACAGTGAAAACAAAGTAACGGATTCATTATGAATAAACCAGGAAAAATTGCTTTTAAGCAGAAACAAAAGAAAACGACGGTTAAATCTTTGACAAAAAAGTAATTGGCAATTTCAATGCGATGTATGCAGTGAGCTCTATAAAAAAAACTGTCATATTTGTTTAAAGGAAATTCGATTTAAAATCTACAACCTTGTTGAAAAAGAGTTATTTACTTGCACTATTTACTGTTTTTATGTTAAGTTATGTATTTTCTTTATTGGTTGAAATATATACTCTTGCTATTTAAGCTTTGTTCTGAGATGAAATGTTCAAACGTTCCTTAGTGCTTTGAGTCTTGGGTAAATAGGAAAGATAACTCTTGAAAGTGGACTTTCTATACCAAATGTTTTAAATTGAAATTGACTTCTCGGTTAAACATTCTTCATTCAATTTGTCACATGTAATTCATTAGGATATATTCCTTGTATTTTCAGAATTCATTTTCTTAATGTTGTATGCATAGATTAAAAAGATAATGACATTAATTGTTTTTTGGAGAACTTTTTTGGTAATAATATTATAATTAGGTATTATGAGGTATTTTCACATTGCGTACTTGTCTTAGGATGATGCCCATCATATGACACTGACAGTTGTAAACTTCTGTTAATAAAAAAAGTTGAAATAAAACATTTCACTAAAATTAGACAAAAACTAAAAAAATCTATAAAAAAAAAATATTTATGACATCACCCCATCTGGATATTTGACATCTACATTATAAGTGGTGCTGTATTGAAATATAAAATAAACTGAAAATATAATGAGCCACCTTAATAAAACAAAGTTGTTAGCGGTAGAAAAGCACATCATTTTAATTGTTTTGCTGATATGTTGAATTCTTAAATCAAACAAAATAGATACAAAAAAGCTCAAACATTACGAGGCCTTGGACTTCAATGGTTAACGAAGTTGCATATAATATATAAATAATGTACTAGAGATGAATTCAATTAATGGCAATTAGCTTTCTTCTGAGCATGGAAGACATATGATAAAGATTAATAAAAATGAATAGAATGAATTTAAATGTTACAAGGAAGACATTTTATCATTAAAAGGGCTTTTGTGTTTCAAAAATTATACCTTTAATACTTTCATCACAATTTACGGTGTACAGGATTCCTCTGAAGCAGTCTGATGTTGAATTCTGTTTTATCCAATATGGCGAGAAAAACCCTGTTGTCTGTAAAACCACACCTGGCAGCAGCAGGCAACTGAGACAACAAACCGATGCAGCAGAAGCAGATCTCATGTTTTATGCAGGGATTTAACAAGGATGGTTATCGGTGTGATGTGGGGTATTTCTGGTTTTTGTTTTGTTTAAATTACAAAGAAATTGACGTATAATTCCATTAAGTGGATTTAATAGTGTGTTAATAGTTGCATTTTTATCTCGATTAGTCTTCCGCCTTTTTATTCTATTATTCGTATGTGAAAACCAAATTCTTATTTCCGTCTTTGATGAAGTTAAACAAGGACTTAAACATCTGTTTGTCTATGTTACAATTATATCGACTCATTATTAATATTAACTTTGGGATGTCAAGTGCTTGATGTTTGTGCCACGCTTGAAAAGTGGGGGATATTAATTTGATTTTGTCCGTCCGCCCGTCTTTCTTTCTGTCTTTGATGTCTCAAGAACCTTTTGAGCTTTTGCAATGATATTTCACATAACATCTCGCTGTGGTCTAAGAAAGACCCCTATGGAATTTGAGATTAAATGTCAAAGTTCAAGGTCATAAATAAGCAAATTTTGTCTGTTATAACACTTTTCCACACGATATCTCGAGAACCCTTTGTGCTTTTGCAATGAAAATTAACATAGCAACTCTGTGTAGTGTAAGGAAGACCCCTATGGAATTTGAGGTTAAAAGGTCAAAGTTCAAGGTCGTAAATTTAAACACTCTCTTTGAATGAAACACTACCAATTCTGGGCGATATTTCAAGAAGATTTTTAACTTTTTCTATGTCATTTTATACTAAACTGTCTAGGACCTTCCTTACTCTTATCAAAATTCCCTGCCCCATTTGTTTTATTAGTATTTATCGTATTACATGTCGCTATGTTTAGCATTAGGAGGAATATTACTATGAAACAGGTTTTCGGTGGACTTTATATTCTTATTTCATCTATTAGAACTGTTTAATAAAGGTTAAAATAGACATCATGCATTGTAAAATTTTGACAATATCGAACATGAATATATACACGTATATGTCACTTATTGGTTGTATATAATTGTCGCCATGTTACATTAGCTCCGTTTTCTGGTGGCATGTCTCTCGCTATACATGTGAGAGGGTCCGGGATCGCATCCTTTTTTCTTGAAATAATTTTCTTTTTTTTACTAAATGATAGTATTCAGCATATGAAATGAAAAAAAATTATGAGGTCTGACTTGTACAAATTCATAATATCATCATTACTGTGTGACAAATATTCTATATAAAAAAAATTCTTTTACACACATAATAAAGAATAATCCATCAAACCTTTATATCCATATTGGCATATTTTATTTGTTTCAGTATACATTTAATAATTCTACAAATTCAGTGATGGGGAGCTGAATCCCCCCTACCCGACCCCCGACTGCGCATTGTTTACTTTTCCCTAAGCAGGGGACACAAATTCTCTGAATTAGCTTGTTTATTACAGTAACGTTTATAACAGAATGACATCATGACGACAAATTCATTGTGATAAGTGACTTGTTTATAAACAGTTGATTCAACTAACAGCTATTTTTCATGAATTAATTTTTTGTGGTTGTTTATTATGCTTATTCAATTTAAAGTTGCAAATGATTTCATATTCTGGTATTTTGAGCAAAATTATTTTGTTAAAAACAAATCCTAAATGCATACATATAAGTGAGCTGGAAATTAAAAAAAAAATCAACAGAGCCTGATTTTACTTGAAAGAGACGTTAATGGTAATTTAACAACAAAGCTTTATAATAAATGTGATGCGTTTAACTTTTCAATCGTCAGCTTCCCTTACTCATGCAGCAATATACCTTCATTAGCTGTGTAAAGGTTATATATATATCTCAGTTGATTAGATGCAAAAGAGCATGCTCTACGCATGTTTCTTTCTAAAACGAGGTAAACTTTTGAATATTGAACAAGTTGATGAACCACGGATATCAGCAGTCTCATTTAAAATTATCATTTGGTAAGTTCTATGGTCGACCTTGTCAGGAAATACAATTTATCATTGAGCCAAATACAGACTGACGTTTTTCATGTCAATTATTGATCAATTATTTATACACTGGAGGAATGACACATTTTCCTGTTATTCCCCAACCACGACAAGGAGCACACGAAGGGCTTAACCAGTTGGCAGAGGGTGCTCACTTATGAATGGTCCCTAATCCCACCTCTGATGATTTACATGTAGAGGTTCATGTTTGCCCTGCTCATATTTTGTATTATTTAATGAAAACTGTTCCCCATCTCCATATATCTTCTCCCTATAGCTTTGTTTCAAAGAAACTCAGTATCCTAGATTTAAGATTTCAAAGTATATATTTGTCTTGGAAACTGAGTTTCATTTTCATGAATTTAAAATGGGACAATTATCTCGTCACCCTTACATAAACACTGATTTAAAAATTGTTTCCCTGCATGTATCATACTCTGTACGGATCAGTTTGGATATATTATAATGGTAATGAATAAGATTTTAATAGTAATTGCAGATCGTTCTGTGTTACTCACAGGGTTTAATCAAAATTATTATTGGTGTGGGTGGAATTTAAAATATGCGTGACAAAGAGTCCGAAAATTTTTCATTTTGTCTCCAAGGTGATACAATGAAACTGTAATCTTTAAAACTGTCCTACTAAACAGAAAACAACAAATAACAATGTTAAAATTTACACTGGGAAAAATTTAATTCGAACCGTTATCAATGTCGGTAGAGCGTTATAGTACGAATGATTAAGGACTGACACAGTTATAATTCGGCTGTCGGAAGCTTAAAATGCATTAAAAATATATATACATTTTATTCTGAGCAAGATTTTAATTTCAATATGAATTTTTGCCTGAATTTGCAATCAACGTGTGATATGAGATTAATCAGGAATACAAAAATAATTTTGTGATGTCACATTACAATTATTTGTTGATTACTTGGCGGCCTTTTTTTAATTTCTTAAGGCAATATGAGCTGTATATTTGAAATCGGAATTTATTTTCCGCAAATTTATAATTAACTATTTCAATGATAGGAAAAAAGAACATTCATTAACCTCTGATGTATATATTCGAAATGCAGCTCATTTTGCTTTAAGGACAGATGATTCAAACAATTTCTTTTCTTTGGAGTAGATTTAATATCATGACTGAAATTCAGACAAGTGGAAATTTCATAGCATTTTTTTCTCCTAAGAATTGGAAATTGAAATAGACCTGGAAAATATTACACATGTACTAACATTTCAATTGAAAAAAACAAATATAGACAAACGACACTCAGTAAAATTTTACAGGTGAAAACAAGTTTCAGAATATGTTTCCTTAGTACTTAATATAAACTTTAGAAAAATATACCAAGCCAGGTGAATTTAATGAGGAAATACAAAATGACAAAAAACAGAAATAAACCATACGCTGATGTTTACCATTTTGCTTTTCTTAATGACTCAATGATGTGACGTTCAGTTGTGACGCGGTGACATCCCCTATGCTCTAAGTTTTAAACATCTATAAAATAAATTCAAATAAACATCACTAAATGAAAATTTCAATGTTAATTAGATTTGTATTTGTGCATCTTTTGGTATATTGTATTTGATAATATGGCGCCAAATATGAAAGATATGTACACTCTGGCATTACATTTGGATCAACCCTCGTACATACAATCCCTCAGCAAAGATAAGTTAGAAGACATATTCAACACAGGATTTAAACAACAACGCCAGAAAAGAATCGACTAATATGCCATGTGAAAGGAATGTAAAGTTATGCAGTGACATGACGTAACGTGCTATTATTCCATCATCTCAATGTAGTTCGGAAAAGTGATTAACAGTTTGAACCCTTTTGGTTTCACGGACACACTTATCCTAACTGCGTAGTAAGTTCCTTTCCATTTAAAATTTAAACCATTTTGTATTACTTATACTTTTTTATAAGGTCAAGATCTACATGCAGTACATCAGAAATAAGAAAAAGATAAATGAATTCCCTTAATCGTGCTTTATATCACATTACAAGTACCAAATTACTGTATGTTAACTTTTTTTCGCCCATAAAAAAACATATTTCTCGAGAGTTGCTCTCGGGGAATATGAATTGTCATCGGTAAAGAAATACTCATTTCTCCCTGGATATCACCATCCAATCTTCGTGTTTAGTAGTTTTTTTGGTAAAATATTTTCATTTATCTAGTTTATTCTTTTTACTGTATTACTCATTTTGAAAAAAAATGCATAATTGTATGATACACAGTAATAAACTAAATGTTCTGAAGATGACATTACGCGCCTTAATCAAGTCGATTACTGTTAACATATTATATTTGGCTGTGTTTTCTTTTTAGCGGCTTTAGCGGATCGCAGCAACCGCTAAATTAAGTACTTAGCTAAATGTATTGCACGTATACGCATAAAAAAGAATATGAAGAAATGCGCTAAATCAAATCTACGCTAACTTATTCAAAAGTCAATTTCCGCAAAATATCGTACACGCTAAATATAATACATTTACAGTATATTATAGCAAGATAATGATCTGTTAATGCATGGGTAGCATAACTTTAAAAAAAGATGAAGGTACATTTCCTCACATGATGGGGTGTTTTTCGAAGTAGGGAACACAACAATTATTTTTGCATAGTTGATGACAAAGTAGTAATCTATTTTTACGCAATCCTGTCTAAATTCTGCAACTTCATTCTTAAAATTATATTTTATAACCGAATGCTATATTTTTTGCTGATCAACGGCATGAAATATTGATATAATCAAATTGTTTTTAAGATTTCATTAGGATTGCAGCACTTTTCATATACCTTAATAGTTCTGTAGTTGAAATGTAATAGCTTACTTTGATCCATAGAGTGTATGCCATTGCACTAGATCGATTTATTAAGACCCTCCTACATTACCCTCCGATGTACTTGCAAACATATAGGTACGACAGTGTCAAATAAATACGCAATGGTCAGAAAATATATTAATAAAATAGTGAAGAAGACATCAAATTCAAGTTATTGACCCATAGAATATCTGTAAGAGTACATATTTTGTTGAGAAAATATCAATTGA